TTTACCTCTCACTACCTAACAAGGATGCTTCTTTACCTCTCACTACCTAACAAGGAAGCTTCTTTACCTCTCACTACCTAACAAGGATGCTTCTTTACCTCTCACTACCTAACAAGGAAGCTTCTTTACCTCTCACTACCTAACAAGGATGCTTCTTTACCTCTCACTACCTAACAAGGAAGCTTCTTTACCTCCTCACTACCTAACAAGGATGCTTCTTTACCTCTCACTACCTAACAAGGAAGCTTCTTTACCTCTCACTACCTAACAAGGATGCTTCTTTACCTCTCACTACCTAACAAGGAAGCTTCTTTACCTCTCACTACCTAACAAGGATGCTTCTTTACCTCTCACTACCTAACAAGGAAGCTTCTTTACCTCTCACTACCTAACAAGGATGCTTCTTTACCTCTCACTACCTAACAAGGAAGCTTCTTTACCTCTCACTACCTAACAAGGATGCTTCTTTACCTCTCACTACCTAACAAGGAAGCTTCTTTACCTCTCACTACCTAACAAGGATGCTTCTTTACCTCTCACTACCTAACAAGGAAGCTTCTTTACCTCCTCACTACCTAACAAGGATGCTTCTTTACCTCTCACTACCTAACAAGGAAGCTTCTTTACCTCTCACTACCTAACAAGGATGCTTCTTTACCTCTCACTACCTAACAAGGAAGCTTCTTTACCTCTCACTACCTAACAAGGATGCTTCTTTACCTCTCACTACCTAACAAGGAAGCTTCTTTACCTCCTCACTACCTAACAAGGATGCTTCTTTACCTCTCACTACCTAACAAGGATGCATCCTTCTTCTTCCCAGTTAAGGAGGAGGTGTCTTTGTATTTCTTGCTCTTGTACAACAAAGCTTCTTTGTCTCCTTGTTACCTGATTAGGAAGCCTCTATAGCCCCTCGTTTCCTAACTAGGAAGCTTCTTTATCTCCTCATAAGCTAAGTAGGAAGCTTCTTTATCTCCTTATTACCTACCTAGGGAGCTAGTCAAAGGCAACTTTCCCTCCTTGCTTTCTTGTAAATAACTGTCTCTACTCCTCATTTCCTAACAAGGAAGCTTCCTTTTCTCAACCTGCCTAACTAGGACACTTTATCTCCTCTCCTCCTTCCCTTGTTTGCTGCAGTGTTTATTGTGTTCATGAGAAGAGTCCGTATCCTTTCACCTCCTTGCGTCCTTGTTAAAAGCATCCATTCCTCCTTTCATCCTAACTAGGAAGCTCCTCATTCCTTCACAAGCATCCTTGCTTCCTCACAAGGGTTCCTTCTTCCTCCTAATTAGGTGGTAAGGAGGTGAAGACGATCCTTTGACTTCTTTTCCTCCTTTTTAACTGGGAACTTTCTTCACCTCCTTGCTTCCTGTTAAGAGGGCTTCTTTACCTCCTTGCTTGCTGCATAAAAAACCTTCTTGTCTCCTTATTACCCAACTAGGAAGCTTCTTTACCACCCTTGTATTTAACTATTTTTCTATTCTCACCTCCTCACCTCTTTACCTTGTCTACATACTAAGGAGTCATCTTTCCTCCTCATTAGCCAACCAGGGAGCTTCTTTACTTCCTACCTCCTTTGTTCATCCCTATAAAGCTTCTGTGCCTCCTACTTTAGCTCCTTGTTTCCTCACTGAACTCTGTCGTCTCCTTCCTTCCTCTGAAGCTTCCTTTTCCCTTTCTTCTTGTTTCTTTGTGTTTTTGTTTCATCAGTTAAATTTGTCTTTTCAGAGCTCAGATTATTTGAATCGCTGCTCAGGGACGTTTGTTGTTTGTTTCCTCTCTGACTCCCACCTTCACATATGCTCATCCATATTTAATGTACGCCGTCTAGCAGCGTGTGTGTGTGTGTGTGTGTGTGTGTGTGCGTGTGTCCCTGTGGGTCTGATTGTGTATAAATGAAATGGTGTCAGTGGCTGGTCTGCATGTATTTGTGTTTGTGTGTGTATAACTGTGTTTGTTTGTGAGTGTGTGTATATTGTGTGTATGTGTGAGTTTGTGTGTATAATGTGTGTGTACTGTGTGTGAGTGTGTGTATAATGTGTGTGTGTGCGGCTCCCTGCTGCCTGTCACCATCTGCTGTTGTGTGAGACTGAAGCACAGAGTCGATGACTTGACGGAGGAACTGATCCCAAACACTCGGAGAACGCAGGGAACCGTTCTCTGCTGATTAAACATTTCATCACAACGTTTCACTGTTGCTAGGAGACGAATTAAAAGCACAGGCGTCTGCGGGGTCCGTTTGTGAAGGGCTGAGTTACTGTTGAGAGTTTAGTGGAGCTTCAGAGTTAGATCCTTAACAAGGAGTCAAGGAGGTAATGATGTGTCCTAGTTGGGTCGTGACGAGTCAAATTAGCGTCCTACTGAGGAGACAAGGAGGTAAAAATGTTTCCTAGTTAGGTCGTGACGAGTCAAATTAGCGTCCTACTGAGGAGGCAAGGAGGTAAATATGTTTCCTAGTTAGGTCGTGACGAGTCAAATTAGCGTCCTACTGAGGAAACAAGGAGGTAAAAATGTTTCCTAGTTAGGTCGTGACGAGTCAAATTAGCTTCCTACTGAGGAAGCAAGGAGGTAAAGATTTTTCCTAGCCGCATAGCGAAGAGGTAAACTAATGTCACAGTTAGGTGGTGAGGAAAAAAGGAGAAAAGGATGCTTCCTAGTTACATGGCAAGGCAAGGCAATTTTATTTATATAGCACCATTCATACACAAGGCAATTCAATGTGCTTTACAAGAGAAATACGTTAAGATAAAACATTAAAGGAACAATAGATCATTAAAAACAAAAGCTAAAAGCAAGAAAAACAGTGCAGAAAATGCATTTAAAAAGCAAACATAAAGCAAAAGCAACAGCAGACAAATATAAAAACAATAGCTACAGATTATCCTAACAATAAGTTACATATCTAGTTCACTGGTAAGCTGCAGTAAATAGTGATGTTTTAAGCCCTGATTTAAATGAGCTGACATAGTGAGGAGGTAAAAACATGTTTCCTAGTTAGGTCATGATGATTCAAATTAGCTTCCTACTGAGGAAGCAAGGAGGCAGAGATGTTTCCTTGCCAGACAGTGAAGAGGTAAAACGCCTCCTAGTTAGGGTGAAAGGAGTAATCGATGCTTTCTAACAAAAATTCTTCTTCACCACCTACTTAGGAAGCTTTTAACCTCCTTGCTTCCTTACTAGAAAGCATCCATTCCTCCTTTGACCCTAACTAGGAAGCTTTTTTACCTCTGCATTCCGTCACAAGCATCCTTGCTTCCTCAAAAGGTTTCCCTCGTCCTCTTGATTAGGTAGTGAGGAGGTAAAGGCAGTCCTTTGACTTCTTTTACTTTCTAACTGGGAACTTTCCTCATTTGCTGTTTAGAGGACTTCTTTAGCTCCTTGTTTACTTCATAGGAAGCCTTCTTGTCTCCTTATTACCTAACTAGGAAGAAGAAGGACACTAAGCTCTCTGGTGAGAGTTTAACATGAAAGCATTTTTACATTCTCACTACTAAATAAGAGAGATTCCTCAACTCCTTGTACCCAGAACATCATTTTGCCTCGTCACTATGTTACTAAGAAGCATCTTGTTGTTTATGCTCCCTCACCACCTAACTGCACTCTTGCTTGCTTGCGAAAAAGCATCCTTTGCTATTTTCATCCTAACTAGGAACGTAAAAGCTAAGGCTAAAAGCTAAGCTTTTTTACCTCCTAATTCCCTCAGTAGCATCCTTGCTCCCTCACAAGGGTTCGCTCTTCCTCCTAATAAGGTAGTAAGGAGGTAAAGGTTATCCTCTGAATTCTTTTATTCCTTTCTAACCAGGAACTTTCCTCATCTCTTCGCTTCCTGTGTAGAGGGCTTCTTTACCTCCTTGTTACCTCCTAGTTGGCCTTCTTTCCTCCTTGTTACCTAACTAGGGAGTGTTTAAAATGTGTTTGAAAAATAGTTTGATTTCTTAACCTCTCCCATCTCAGGAGTTTACAGGAGTGAACATGTGTTTATAAAGTTCTGTAAAGAAGCTTCCTCAGAAAGACACAAAGCTCTCTGGTGATGAAGTGAGGAGGTGAGCTGTTTACAGATGTTGTAATGTGTCAACAGGTGTGTGTACAGGTCTCTAAACAGGTGTTCACATGTGTCTGAAGGCATTCACAGAGTTTACCAGTGTAAAGAGTGTGTTACTCTCTGCCAGTGTTTACAGGTGATCATAGGTTTTTGCAGGTGTGAACAGGTGTGATCAGGTGTGATCATGTGTGGACAGGTGTGGACAGGTGTGATCAGGTGTGGACAGGTGTGATCAGGTGTGATCAGGTGTGGACAGGTGTGATCAGGTGTGGACAGGTGTGATCAGGTGTGGACAGGTGTGGACAGGTGTGATCAGGTGTGATCAGGTGTGATCAGGTGTGGACAGGTGTGATCAGGTGTGGACAGGTGTGGACAGGTGTGGACAGGTGTGGACAGGTGTGATCAGGTGTGATCAGGTGTGATCAGGTGTGGACAGGTGTGATCAGGTGTGGACAGGTGTGGACAGGTGTGGACAGGTGTGATCAGGTGTGATCAGGTGTGGACAGGTGTGGACAGGTGTGATCAGGTGTGATCAGGTGTGGTCAGGTGTGGACAGGTGTGATCAGGTGTGATCAGGTGTGGACAGGTGTGGACAGGTGTGATCAGGTGTGATCAGGTGTGGACAGGTGTGGACAGGTGTGATCAGGTGTGATCAGGTGTGGACAGGTGTGGACAGGTGTGATCAGGTGTGATCAGGTGTGGACAGGTGTGGACAGGTGTGATCAGGTGTGATCAGGTGTGGACAGGTGTGGACAGGTGTGATCAGGTGTGATCAGGTGTGATCAGGTGTGATCAGATCAGGTGTGATCAGGTGTGGATGCCTCATCACTCTGAGTGTGTCGCAGAGACATCAGACACCAGCAGTTGAACATTAAAGCTGCGTCTTGTGAACAGCAGGTGAAACGAGGTGTCTCATTGAGCATGCTCAGTAACTCTGCTCATCTCTTCCTGTCTGCAGCTCGGACACCATGTCTAAAGCGACCGTGAAGAAGCTGCACTGGCGCTCGAAGGTGCAGGAGAGCTTCGTCCCGCTGGGCGGCGGCTCTGGAGAGCTGGGTCTGGCCATCGGGGGCGGGGCAGACTACGGCGAGTTCCCATTCGTCACAGCGGCCCATGGGGGCGGGCCCACTGTGGGTGACATCATCTTAGAGATTGGGGGGACACCCGTGTTAGGGATGACCCTCGGTGATGTCAGAGGAGTCCTCAACTCCTGTCCTCATCCAATCAGAATCAAGACGGTCTCTCCAGGTGAGTGCACATGTCTAAAGGTATTACTGATATTTTAGTTTGTGTTTGATGTTTGATGCTCGTGTTTTATTTTCATGCTCACTGGAAACATTCAGCTGATCGACAGGAAGCTGATCAGTCATTTTTCAAGCCAAGATTCAAAACACTTCCTGGTTGTGGCTGCTTCTGTTTGTCTCATATGACGTTGGACTGAGTGTCATGTGACCAGGGGCGTAGCCATCATATCAGAAGTGAGGGCGACGAGTTACTGAAATATTCTCTCCCAATCAGCTGCACCTCTCCTTAGCAGCCAAGGAACCAAACCAAATAACCAAAAACAACTCATGACCGGGAAGAGAGGTCGTCTCCTGCAGTGGACAGAACCCTGGGGGACAATTTAAGCTCTTAAATTAATTATCAGATTCATTAATTAAATGATGAAAATCAAAACTTTGAGCCACCGAGCTCTAGTTGTGTTGACATGAACCCTGACCGCCGAGCATCAAGATGGTAAATAGCCATTAAAACAAAAGTGACACCACATTAAACTAAAGTTAAACAACCTTCCAATCAGCATTTAGTCTCGCTGTGGAGATTGTGATCGAGAGAACTTTGGACATTTCCAGTTTTATTTGTAGTTGAGTAATGTGTTAGT